ATTATATTTTAAAAAGATTAATTTTTTAAAATTACTCTTTGATAGTATATTTGTTTGAGAATATCAATTGTCATAATTATACTTTTTGTGTTATTAATGAATTCATATTACTTTATTCATTGATTTTTGAAAAAAGACTAATATTTTAAGACAATCAAAAATAGAATAAATGACTAATATTTTAAGACAAAAGGGTATAAAAGTCAAACTTTATAAATTTTATGTTTTTTATAGTTTCCACTAAAAAAAACAAAGGGCAAACTTCACTTTACCCCATGTGATTTGGGTCGATTCCGAATTATCTCCTGACATTTGGAAATCACCCACTAACCCCCATGTAATTTGTAGACTAAAACGCACACTTTCTGTTAACCGAACATGTAAATCTACCTTTATACCCCATCTTCTTCCCCATTCTCCTTTAAGCCTACAAATATATATATACACTAGTGGGTGGCACACACGATGTGTGTGCAATTTAAATAAGTAGGAATAAAAAATAATAATAATGAAATTAATATTATAATGTGTACTTAACTTAAGTGGTATGAGTTCTCGTACTTCACTACAAGAAAACACATTTTTGCCGACCATTTTTGGCTACCAAAACAAATTTAGCCGCCAAAAGTGGCGAAGCAATAACATAATCATCTCCAGCCCCCTTGTTGGAGTCTGGGAGGTCGGCTACGATTTTGAATTCAGTGGACCTCGGCTTGAGGTAATAGACGTAACCTTTTTCCTTCAGGTTAAGGGCGCACATGGTATAATAGTATTGGATGTCGGCAAGGGTGATCCTAACGTTCTCCTGCCTAGCTAAGGCGATAATACCAAAAATCACTCGATAAGAGTTGATTGCCAGTTGCATGGGGTTCAACTTATAATAATGAAAAATCTCGCGAAAAAAGGATGTTGAGTGGGAGCCGGAGTCCGCACTCAGTAAAAGCTACAATGGGAAGGGGCATGGCATTTTCTGTAGGCATTATGGAGTCATCATCACCAGCCAGTCTCAGATGGACATCGGCAGGGATGTAGAACTCCTGCCTAAAGTACTCAAGTTTGGTCGGGGTATCTACTATATGTCTCCACATACCCATGATATCGGCTTCTATTAGAAGGGTTGAAATTCAAAAGATACTCTTAAGGGGTTATCGGGACCTCGGCGAAACCCTAGGTATATGCTGGTAAGGATTGTTTCAGTTTTTTCCTAAGAATTGATAGGTTCTATAGACAAATCCAAACCTAAATCTATGAAGGCAAAGATTGAAAGCAAAAATTGAAGGCAGAGATCTGGAAAACAACACAGGAAACAAGAAACCAGAACGCAGTTTCAGAATGAAGAACATAAGTGAGGTTCTCAAAAGCATAAAGAAAACAAGAACTACAGGGTCAAGAACAGTGGCAAAAATGCAAGAAGTAGTGAACAATAAATATGATTCATGGAATTAACAGTTTAAACAGAACAGTAATGGCAGCAAGAAGATAGAAGAACATCAGTGAACTGAATACACAAAGAATAGTGGCTTACCAGAGAAATTGAAGCTGGAATGAAGTTCGCCGAAGACAGACGACGGTTACGGAAGTGACAGAGTAGCGAGAGCCTCACCAGAAAGACGAATGAAGTTGCAGAGCCTGGAGCTTAAACAATGGCGGATTCAGGAGACAAAGCTTAGAGAGAGAAAAAAGTAAGAGCTCAGATGCAAAAGTGAAGAGACGAAAGAAAGGGGGAAAGATTTTGTTAAAAAATAGAAACGGTGGCAAAAAAGTAATCAATACGCCTAAAAGAGCGCATACGTCAGACGGCGCATGTAAAGAAGAGATGACTTATGGGCGCGTCATAGGCACGAGCTAGTAAGAAATAAACGCGTGATTAAAACGGTTGAGTTAAAGTGCATGACAGTTCATGCGCGTGAGAAGTTCCTTAAAAATCTTTGATTTTTTAGGGAAAGCATGTCGGCCAGAAATGAATAATCTCGGCTATCAAATCTTAAGCCGATTTACTGGAAGAAAATACAGATATACGTTCCATCACCTCAGAATGCCGAGGTAATAGAACCTAGGGGGCAGTTGTGGGGATGTATTTTCTGAATACCAACACGTGGCAAGGTGACGCCGACGTGTCAGCCGAAGTGCCACGCGTCCTGGTTGTGACGCCGAGGTTATCTCGGCAAGACCGAGGTTATCTCCGAAGATATCCGAGATAAGCGGATAATGGATAAGGGGCAAGAGTCCTAGAGTAAGGAGAAGACTTTGCTAAGATAAGGATAAAACTCTTAGGGAGTTTATCCTTATCTCTTGAGGAATCCAAAGTAAGCACTGAATTGGAGTCCATAGAAGTCAGGCTTCCAGTGGGACTTGGATTAAGTAAACTATAAAAGAGAGGCACCCCCATGGGTCTAAGGTACGCAGTTTTATGCTTTTGATACTCAAGCTTGTGAGTTTAGTACTTGATTTATCTTTGAGAGATATACTGACTTGATCGTCGGAGAAAAATCTGCAAATTTCATGTATATATATAATCTGCAAATTTCATGAAATCTCATTACAGAATTGTTGGGCCATATATATATATATATATATGTACCACTGGAAGCACAGATTTGTTGGGCCATCGGAAGTGTAATTGAATAATTCTGGATTAAGTGTAAACTCAGGCCATGTTTGTTTGGGTGGACATGAGCTTGGGATTGGACTAATAGTCCAATAAAATTATTAATCCGATGTTTGGTTAAACAATTGAAGTACGGATTAATTATTTTAAACTTGACTATTAGTTAAGATAGGATACATAATCCAACGGATTCGTAGTCTTAGGACTATTAGTCATGGGAATGCTAATCTAGTCCGCCCAAACAAACATGACCTCAGTGTAATTGAACAAATCTGTGCTTCCAATGCAAACTCAGCTTGAAACTCCGGATTAGCTTGAAACCTCCTCATCGAAGCAGCTTATCCAAGCCACGATCCACCGGCAAAACAAACAGTGACAATCAACCATTGGCTGGAAGAGAAACACAGCACACTAAGAAAAAAAACCCAGCTCCAGTGACTCCCTCACCGCTAACAAGAAACTCGAGGAACAAGTCCCATACACCAGCACCAGAGAACCAGAGCCCTTCAACCTTGCACTGGAACAGAGACATCGGAGTATAAACCCAGCACCAGTGAATAAAATGGAAGGCTACTAATGTCTGGGATGAAAGGAGTAGAGAGAAAAATAATTGAATGACATTGTTTATAAATTTAAAGATGTGCAGGGGCATTTTTCGTCTTAAAAATAATATTACTCTCTTTGCGAGCACTTGATTCTCACAATGTATTATTTTGAAAGGAAAAGTTAAAAGTGCTACTATTAGCACCTACCAAAATTCTTGGGACCCCCCATTTCTTTGGACCCCAACCCTAAACCCTAAATTTTAATAATATCTTTTTGGACACCCCACGTATTACCAAATCTACCCATGTTCATAATATTTTCACAATGAAATGCACACTTACCTAATTTTTCATCCCTCTCATTTCCTTTATTTCTCACCTAATTATTTCAACTAATAAGATGAAGAAAATTCATGAACAAAAGAGAACAAAAACAAAAGTGGTGGAACATCTCACGTTTTTTCCTCAATTCTGGTGAATTGTGGTCTCTGGTGGCCTCAATCTTCTGATTTGATTGATCCACTGATCTTCAAGAACTCGATTCGCCCAATCGGGAGCAAATCCACCGAACGACACTCCACGCATCGCCTTCATCACTCTCGTCGCCGTCTCGGCCGTCAACAGAGCATTCCGACGACTCTCATCTTCTCTGAACGCTCTCCGTATCGCCGAATCAGTAACCTCTCTCATCCTCTTATCATCATCTTCTTCGTTGCTTTTTGTATCTTCGTTATCGCTAAGATCGATCGAAGATACTCCAATTTCTACGAGATTTGCATAACTGTTTGCAAGATGAGGAAAAACAGAATCATCGTCTGAATCGCCAATTCACAGTTGCTGGCCCACTCATTTCAGCATTGTTGAACCAAATAAAAACAATTTGTTCACCACTGTGTAGCTGAAAAAATGTATTTTGTTCAGAACTGTTTTGTCGAACAATAATGATCATGTCAGCACTGTATGTCCGAACAAAATTTGTTCATCACTGTGTAACTTGAATCCATTCCAATTCATTTTTTTCATCAACTTCAATTCAGTATAACATAGAAAATAATATTCATTTCAATTCACTGTTTACCATTCCAATTCATTAAAACAAAGAAAATAACATGAATTAAATCCATTCAAAATACATAACTTAAATCTATTCTAATTCACTCTTTTCCATTCTAAGTTAGTTTAACAAAGAAAATTACATAATTGAAATCCATTCTAATTCTATTTCCTAGCTCACTCATATGACATTAGTCCTCATCCAAGTCTACTGTTTCGATTGTGGCTACGTCTAGACTGATGAGTGATTTGAAATGTTGCACTCTGGAACTGTGTGCAACCTCCCAGCCTACTACACAAGGGTCATAGTACCTCTGCCAGTTAGTTGCTATGGATGGAATAGGATGACCAAGCTCCAAAATGAGCTACAAAAAAAAAAAAAAATAATGTTAATTTCAAAATTGAGAAAATGATGTTCATTTCAACAGTCCCGAAACTAATGGTTTTGTTCAGTTCAACAGTGACGAAAATAAAGATGATATTCGATTCAATAGTACTGACCATCTGCATTAATGTTCGGAACCTATGTATTGAACGAAAGCATTATGTTCAGTACTGTATTACCGAACATAATTCTAATAGTCAGCAAACCAGTACCGAACAGCTCGAACGAAACAAGAACGACCGAAAACGACCGAGAATGTTAATACAAGACAGATAAACTTACCAATGGAATGCCGGTCTCACTAGAATTGTTGTCCTCGTCCTCCATTGCTCTACACAGTGAAATAAGTGATGAAGTATACGTTATACTTGAAGCAAAACTTTCAAGTTCAATAGCGTTGATAATGGTGATGAAGATGACACATTCAGGATTTAAGATGATTATGAAAAATAATAGATTTAGGGTTTATGTTAGTTGGTTATGAAAAGTAATAGGTTTAGGGTTTACAAACATGAAATACGTATAGTTGGAGTTGGAGGTGGGGGTGGGGGTGAGTGTCCAATATTATAGAGTATTAGTTCTTATTGATAGGTGTGTGTTCCATTTAATAATATCTTTTAATGTAATTTTACTTTATGGTATAATTGTAATAAAAAAAATTATAAAATGGGGGGTCCAAAGAATTTTGGCAAGTGCTAATAGCAGCACTCAAAGTTAATTATGCGTTTTAGTCTACAAACCACAAAGTTAATTATGCGTTTTAGTCTACAAACCACATAGGCATTGTTTGGGAAGGGCTAAAGTGGCTATTTTAGTTACAAAAGACAAAATATGCTATTTTAGCCAAAAAAATAAAACATCACATCCAACCCATAATCATTACACTCTTCTCTCACAAAAAAAGTCAAAAAATTCTTCCTAAACCAAGCTTTTTAGCCCAAGTTAAATTAGTCAAAAAAGTCAAAAAACCAAAAAGCCAACCCACTTTCCAAACGGAGGCATAGTAATTTCCGAATGTCAAAAAATAATTAACATCTGGCCCAAATCACAAGGGGTAAAGTGAAATTTGCCCAAAAACAAATTGTATATAAAAGCTACGCACCAAAACAAAACAAAAATCCAAACAATGCCCAAAGAATAAGATCCGGATCCGTTTATTAAAAAAAAAGGCGGGCATTTCAAATTGAAACCACTGTAACGGTCTCGTTTACTGGCCCCACGTTATTCTCATGCTCCTACTACTTGTCTCTTCCCCCATCACCCTTCTGTTTCTCCATCTTCTTCTTCTTCTTCCTCCTCCTCCTCCAAAAAAACCCTAATTTCTTCTTCATCAAATCTCACATATACCCCTTAATTCTCTCTCTAGAAAAGATCAATCAATGGCGACTCTAACTCCGGGAATTCTGCTAAAGCTCCTCCAGTCCATGAACTCCAACACCAGAGTTACCGGCGACCACCGCTCTCCTCTCCTCCAGCTCATCGGAATCGTGCCTGCCCTAGCCGGCTCCGACCTCTGGTCTAACCACGGCTTCCACGTCCAGCTCTCCGACTCCCTCCACTCCACCTACGTCTCTCTCTCCGACCTTGACTCCGATCTCATCCTCACCGATCGCCTCCAGCTCGGCCAGTTCGTCTACATCGACCACTTCCTCATCGATTCTCCGGTCCCTCGTGCCTCCTCCATTCGTCCCATCCCCGGCCGCCACCCCTTCCTCGGAACTCCCGACCCTTTAATCGCTCGCATTTCGGAATCCAAGCGGGAGTTCGTGATTCAGCCCGTATCGGATTCGGATCAATCGAACGATCCAATTGTTTCGTTGTTCACCAACAAGAAACTTGAGGAGTCGAAAATTGAGGCTAAGATTGACAAAAAGCTTACCGCAAGACGAGTTTTAGCGCCGAGAGATGATAATATTAATGTATTGGTGAAGAAAGAGAAGGAATTGAAGGTTTCTGATAGGACTCAGAGGTTTTCATCTCCCGGTGCTGTGAAGCAACAACGGTCTGCATCGGTGGAGAAGAAGATGAAGAATATAGCCGTTGTGGAGAGAGAACCGTCGCCGGCGGGGAAAGTGAAGAGGTCGGCGTCGCCGGTGCCGTCGAAGTGTGTGGTTCCGAGTTTGGTTGTTGCTTGTGAAGAGAATCGGACGAATTCGAGGGAGCCGGCAATTGTAGTGCCATCGAAGTATCGACAGGCGTCACCGAATGGGCGGAAACAAGCATCGCCGAATCCCAGGAGGATGTCAATTTCGCCCGGAAGGAGACTTTCCGGGGGAATTAGGGTTTCGCCTGTTGTTGGGGCGGTGGATTCTGCGAGTAAGAAGAAGATGGCGACTATAGTTGCTGGGATTGCAAAGGTTTCGGAGGCGATTGTCGGGTCAGCGAAGGCGAATAAAAAGAGCTGGGATGATTCATCAGCAGTGGAGGAGGCTTCTGGGGAGCAGAAACAGAAGAGTTCAATGAAAAATAAGCCAGATTTGCAAGCAATTTTGCGAACTCAGGTAGTTTCATGTGCATTGTCTTGACCTTTTTTGATGATTTGATCTAGAGAGAGGTCTTAGTTTTACATTTCAACTATGAAACCACATGGTAATCTGTTGAATTGTTTTTGGGTCATTGTATATTTAGATTGCACTTAAAAAAAATAAAAAAATAAAATGAATTTAGCTTTGTTTCATGCTGAAGGGGTTGTCAGATCCATTGATGAGAGTTGGAACTTCAGCCACAAAAAAGTTCACTGATTTACGGTTAATTTATAGGCCATTATATTATCCTGTAATTTGATTGCTCTTTCTTGTTCAGTGAATTACTGGGTCTTCTTCATTGCACTGTTGCACATCACTAAACCATGTTACAGATTCAGAGTACTTTTATTGTCTGGCAATTAATGCTCTATTTATAATAAAAAAAATTTAATTCAAGGTATTCCACTAGTTAATTTTGGGGATGAAGCTCTATTAACACTTAAAACTGTCATTCCCTTGTGATTTTTGTATTTCATTTGCTATTTCTTCTTCTCATTTTTATGTACTTCCACTCACCCTGATAGAATAAATAAATTATATATGCGACACTACAATTTTTAATTGTTTTGTCTTGGACATTCAATTTTCCAAATTCCAGGCTGCTATTTCTAGGCGTCTAAGCGATGTGAATGGTCAAAAGCCCGATAAAGATGATTCTGAAAACTGTGAGAAAGCAAAATCTAGCAGTTTGGTGGCCGAGAAGCCAATCTGCACAGCTCCAGGAATCACTGTTCATGAGAAGAAATGGACTGATGGTAGTACTCCGTTGGATGCAGTCTCAGCAAAGCTTGCAAGGCTTGGGAAGGTAAACTCAAAGATTATCATCTCTAGCGCTGAGCTAAAACTTAATTCTACTAACATGGCTCCTATGGCTCCTTTAATGTTATTTGAGTCTGAATGCGGATTTTCATATGTTGATGCAATGCAGGAAGCTATGCAGAGGAGGACCCTTTCTTCTTCAGCTGCTGCTGAAGCTCTGGAAGAGGCCATTGCCTCCGAGTCTATTGTAAGGAGCTTAAGGTAATTATCCTCTCTTGGTCTCTATTTATGTATATACATATAAATGCTAGTTGTGGGTGCAAATGTGAAGCATTTGTGATTCTACATTTAAATTTTTGGGTAATTTGATAAATGAGGAAAACTAGTCAACGACTTGAATGAGAAAAACCGTTTAGCAATTTTGGACAGTTTGATGAATGAGAAAAACTTCTTAGCAATTATTGAATGTGGCACAGTTATTGAAACTAGACATTTTGGACGGTTTTTATTTTTGCATTTTTAATATAAGAGCCTAAATCTAACAATACCCATCAATCATCCAACACAACCAACTGAATTGGATTCCCCAGAGCAGCAGCCTCTGGATAAGCCTTAAAAAGAGGCCGCTTCAGACCTAGAAATTTATGTCGGAACTCTGCCGGAGTAAGGTCGGAGAACTTTGTGACGCCGTGTACGGCGGAGGTTAGACTTGAAGACCACAAGTCTGTAATCGTGCTCCTCCTGCGTAGCATAGGACTTGCCGTACTTGGTTTTGAAGAGAGAGAAGTGCCGTGGAGAGGAGAGAGAAAGAGCCAGCATCTTGTTTGTTTGTCGGTTTTCGCCGGAAGAGAGAGAGAATTAGAAAATTTGGATTTGTCCGGCGGACGGCCAAGGCGAGGCTGCCGCCCGCCGGTGAAGCGGAAGCACTAAGGTCTTAACCTTGCTCTGATACCATGTAAGAATTTATGTATTATTAATTGATTGATGTATTACAAGATTTGTTGTGTTTATTGATGTATATATCTGTATATTACAAGTCCTATATATAGAGAGGTTTTGGGAGTAGTAGGTGTAGAGTGGGTGGTGGTAGTAAGTAAAGTGGAGGTGGTAGGTGGAGTGGGTGAGAAGTAGTGGAGGTGTGTAGTGGTAGGTTTTAGTGGGGTGGATGTAGTGGGTTAGGTTTAGTGTATATTAACAGATGCAATGCAGGAAGCTATGCAGAGGAGGACCCTTTCTTCTTCAGCTGCTGCTGAAGCTCTGGAAGAGGCCATTGCCTCCGAGTCTATTGTAAGGAGCTTAAGGTAATTATCCTCTCTTGGTCTCTATTTATGTATATACATATAAATGCTAGTTGTGGGTGCAAATGTGAAGCATTTGTGATTCTACATTTAAATTTTTGGGTAATTTGATAAATGAGGAAAACTAGTCAACGACTTGAATGAGGAAAATCGTTTAGCAATTTTGGACAGTTTGATGAATGAGAAAAACTTAGCAATTATTGAATGTGGCACAGTTATTGAAAAACTAGACATTTTGGACGGTTTTTATTTTTGCATTTTTAATATAAGAGCCTAAATCTAACAATACCCATCAATCATCCAACACAACCAACTGAATTGGATTCCCCAGAGCAGCAGCCTCTGGATAAGCCTTAAAAACAAAACGCACACACGCACACACACACAACGGACCGGACCGGACACAAACAAAAGAAAGAAGAAAAGGGCCATGATCCTATGTTCGTTTTTGCCCTGCCCCGATAATGCACTCCTAGATGTGACAACTTCACCCCAAATGGGGTGTACATTTTATATAATAGAATAAATGTATTCAGTTACTAAAGGCCACAATGTTAGACAACTAATATGGTGTGGCATCCAATTTGAAGCATAATCTGATGATTTTGCTTGGATGTTATGTAGCTTAGTTGATATGTTTATAGGAGGCCAGAGAAGAAACCTAAGTTCTCTAGCTCCTTAAGATCTTGAAACTATTGTGTCAACACTTGCTTATTTGTGGACTCACAGAATGATCATTCCTCAGCACCTTGCGGTGATTCCATTGATTCATTTTGACAGTTTGATGTGGATGATAATTCTAACAGTTTGATGTGGGTGATAATTCTTACCCATTTGATGTGATTTCTATTCCAGTATGTTTTCGGATCTTTGTTCCACATCCAAGGGAGGAAATCCTTTGCCAACAATCGACCATTTTATGTCCATATACAATGAAGTTGTGAAATCAACAACTACTGCTGAATCAATAGCCACAAACTGCAATTCCCTCACTCCTACCAACAATATCCCAACAGAGCATTCAAAATCCATTTCTCTTTGGGTAGAAGCCGCTCTGGCAACAGATCTTGAAATCGTCTCCCTCCTGACCAACCAAAACTCTGAGCCTCGTCCAACTCTGCAAAAACGTTCATCAAAACGACAATCTTTCAGTACACCTTCCAAAAATCACGTGACTGCTTCTTCATCAACCCCCCCTTCAAATACTACTGGGAAGACATGGACAAGGGGATGTGGAATGAATGAGAATCGAGAACTTGGATTGAAATTGCAATCAGAGATGCAAATGTGGATTGTACGGTTTGTTGAGGAGTCATTGGATGCTGGTTTTCGAGTGTTGGGAAAGTGTTCTAGTGACACTGTGGGCCTTGATTCTGGTCCAATTACCGTAGTGTTGTCGCAATTGAAGCGAGTCAACGACTGGTTGGATCGTGTGGTGTCAAAAGAGGATGAATTCTTGATAGGAAAGATTGAGCAGCTAAAGCGGAAGATCTATGGATTTGTTATCCAACATGTGGGGACGACTGCTTCATCTTGATTTCTTAACAGGTTGTTCTTACAATAATTTGTTTTGCATCATTTATTTAGTAAAATGTGGTTGGAAAATTGTTAGAAATGCAAGTTTCCTTTAGATACAATTCTTGCCAATTCTGTTGTATAACATCCAGCAATACTTATTCTATACTTTTTTTATGGATCAGTTCACTTGAAGCATCTAAATGTACAGTTCGATAATTCCTTCCAAACATTGTAGGTTTTTTAGTGTGTGTGGCTTTTTTTCTTTCAATTTATTATTATTATTATTTTTTTTGTTGGAAAAGATTGGTTTTATAAGGCTTATTTTGGGCCAACTTTGAGCCCAAAATAGAGTGGGCCCCAAACGTCTTTTGGGGTGGGTCTGAAGAGGTGACGTGTTCCTTGCCACGTGGCAAGTCACACAGTGAAGATGGTTCGTCAAAACCATTTTTGAGTGAATGGGAACTTGACGTCGTTTTCAGTTTCGTGGAATGAACATTTAAAGATTTAAATGTGGGTTTCCTTGAAATGGGTTATCCTACATTGAAATTTTAAAAGAGCTTTGTTGAGTATATAAGTTCTAGATTGCAACACTTGGGTTGGGCTCCAAAGCGTATCCCAAGTTTGTAGAAGGGAGAAGTTATGGACAAATGGAACCTTGGCTCAAATCACTACACGCGCGCGCCTAGCCTGACCGTGCCGGGTGCGATTGTGGGTCGGGTCGGGTCGATTTTTGTATTAATTTTTTGGACAAAATTCATTTGAATTTTTCCCAAAAATTATTACGGGAAATTAATTCAAAATTTGAATTTAATTTTTTGACCTTTGTTACCTCTTCCAGTCCATTTTTCCAAAACAGTTTAAACAGTCCAAACAGGTTGCCAATCTGTTGAACCCTGGACAGATTCGGTTTCTACCCAGATAAATTCAAATCTGTTGTAGTTTTTCCAACAGATATAAACTGCCTAGCAGTTATCTGTTTAAACTGTTATGCACCTGTTGGATTCAAAATTCCACCTGTTCAGTTTGAATTATTGAACCTGTTCAGGTCTATAAATAGCAGGCAATTTTCCAACAGTCACATATTCCAAAAATTCATTTTTCTTGCCTTTATTTTGCTCTCTTGCATCATTTATTCTTCATATTAGTTTAGGAAAAAATTCTGAGAGTTATAGAACACAAGGTTCTAGTTCGTCGGACAAATTTGTTTGGAGTGCTACTACAAAGTTGTGAAGATCATTATATCCTAGGAGATAGACGCCACTTTACCGTTAGCACCGTAGCATGACGAATCTGTCTTAAGGATAGAGTATCATACACTCGACTTGATCTTTAATTATTCATTTGGTTCGGTAAAATAATTTCAATATGTTATTTATTTTACTTGTTTGATTTTTGTTTCAATTTATTTTTGTACACAGAAGATTGTTCCAACAATCTTAAGACAGATTCGAATTGTTCTGTTTACAAATTTTTTCGTTTATTTCCTTTCTTCTTTCTTCTTCTTACAGAAATTATTTTCTGTGATTTTACAAAAATAATATTCTGGTTGGAAAACGAATAGTAGTAATATACTGTTTGATAGATAATAGTAATATACTGTCTATTTTCTTTAACAACTAGTAGTAATATACTGGTGTCATTAACAATTCAGAATATTTATTTGTGAATTTTGTAAGAAATTAATTTTGGTTTTCTTAAATAATTTCTGAGTGTTCATTAATTAAAAATAAATTTGTTTTTTTTTAATTATTGAAGTGTTACAGGAATTTTTTTTTCTATGTGGAATTAATTTGGTTAAATAAAATTTTATTTTATTTTCAAATTAATTATAAAATAAAAGTTACATTCTTATTTCTTTTATTTTTTCAAAATTTAATTCTGTGAATTTGGATTGATTTTCTGTGTAGTATAAATTCTAATTCTAATTTTGTTTTATAATTTAGAATTCATGCCTACTGAAACTAATGCCCAAACAAGTACTAGTGTGGTGGCTACAATTGCGCCAACACCCTCTCCTGTTGTGACAATACCGGTAAATCACGGTGAGAAGCCAGAGAAGTTTAAAAGATTGCAACAGAAAATATTGTTCTATCTTACAACTCTGAACCTAGCTCGTTTTCTTCGTGAGAATGCTCTTATTTTAAAAGAGGATGAAACCGACCGGCAAGTGGTTGCAGCGGTCGATGCCTGGAAACATGCTGATTTCCTTTGCCGAAACTATATCTTGAACGAACTTGACAATACATTATACAACGTCTACAGTCCTATCAAGACAGCAAAAGAACTTTGGGAGTCTTTGGAGAAAAAGTACAAAACAGAAAATGCTAGCTCAAAGAAATTTGTAATTGGCAAATTCTTGGACTTTATGATGGTTGATTCTAAGACTGTGACCAGCCAAGTTCAAGATCTCCAACTCATTCTGCATGACATTCACACAGAAGGCATGTCTCTCAGTGAATCCTTCCAAGTTGCAACCTTAATTGAGAAATTACTACAAGGCTGGAAGGAATTCAAGAGCTACCTCAAACATAAGCGCAAAGAAATGTCTTTAAAGAATTAATTGTGCGTTTAAGGATTGAGGAGGACAACCGCAATTCTAAACAGCGGGCTGGTAAGCATCTAATTGAGGCAAATGTGGTGGAACATGCTCCAAAAGCAAAGAAACTGAAGTTTTCTAGAGAAAGTTCATCACAAGGCTCTAAAGGAGGGGAAATTAAAAAGTACAAGTTTAATGGCAAATGTTACATCTGTGACAAATAGGGACATTGGGCCAAAGATTGTCATAGCAAAAGCAAGAGCAAAAGAAAAACAAGCAAGAAGCCTGCTCAAGCCCATATGACTGAAGTGGGCTATATTTCCAATGGTGTAGATGACATCAATCTTTCTGCAGTTTTCCGAGGCAAACCTTGTCTGAAATCCTAAAGAATAGTGGGTGGATATTGGTGCTACTCGCCATATCTGTGCCGACAAAAAGATGTTCACATCTTATTCTACAGTGGACAATGATGAACAACTTTTTATGGGCAACTCCTCAACTTCCAAAGTTGAAGGACAAGGGAAGATTGTTCTCAAGATAACATTTGGAAAGGAACTCACTCTCAACAATATGCTGCATGTATCGGACATTCGCAAGAACCTTGTTTCCGGATCTTTGTTGAGTAAAAATGGGTTTAGGCTAGTGTTTGAGAGTGATAAATTTGTACTTACTAAAAATGAGATGTATGTAGGAAAAAATTACATGTCAAATAGCCTTTTCAAGATGAATGTAATGACCGCTGTACCCTCAGTTATTAATAAAAATACATATTTTTCTTACTTGCTTGAGTTTTCAAATTTATGGCATGGTAGACTAGGATATGTTAATTATGGATCTTTATGTAGATTAATTAATATGAAATGTTTACCTAAATTTGACATTGAGTCAAATCATAAATGTGAAATTTGCATTGAGGCAAAATTATCCAAAACTCCTTTCATTCAATTGAAAGAAGTACGGAACCACTTGAATTAATTCATAGTGACATTTGTGATTTTAAATTGATTCAAACTAGAGGTAAAAAAAAATATTTTATCACTTTTATAGATAATTATACTAGATGTAGTTATGTTTATTTAATTCGAACTAAGGATGAAGTTTTGGAAACTTTCATTCAATACAAGAATGAAATTGAAAATCAACTTGGTAAGAAAATTAAAAAACTTAGAAGTGATAGAAGTTGTGAATATGAATCACCTTTTGGTGAATTTTGTAAAAAACATGAAATAATTTATCAAACCACTGCTCCTTACTCATCTTAGCAAAATGGAATTGCTGAAAGGAAAAATAGGACTTTAAAAGAAATGATAAATGACATGTTAATAAGTTCTGGTTTACTTCAGAACTTGTGGGGGGAAGCAATACTTTTTGCTAATTATGTTTTAAAAAAAATACCCCGAAAGAAAGTAAATCAAACACCTTATGAAATGTAGCATGGAAGAGTACCATCCTACAAATACTTAAAAGTGTGGAGGTGTTTGGCTAAAGTGGCTATTCCTAGTCCTAAAAAGACTAAGATAGGTCCTAAGACCATTGATTGCATTTTCATTGGTTATGTGAAGAATAGTAGCGCATATCGATTTTTGATTTATAAATCAGAACATACCAAAATGCATGTAAATACTATTATTAAGTCTCGGAATGCATCATTCTTTGAACATGTATTTCCAAATAAGATTAGACAAAAGATTAGTACTAATAGAAGATCTTTTGATGTTGTTACTAGTAATGATCAAGAACAAGATCAAGAGCTAGATCAAAATGAGGAAGATGAACTTAGGCGTAGTAAACGTGCTAGAACCTCAAAATCTTTTGGTCTAAATTTTCTAACGTATTTGTTAAAAAATGAGCTTTTAACTTTTAAAGAGGCTATGTGCAGTTTGGAAGCTCCTTTATGGAAAGAAACTGTCAATAGTGAAGTTGAATCCATCTTGTAAAATCACACTTGGAAATTAGTGGACTTATCACCAGGTTGTAAACCTCTTGGATATAAGTGAATTTTCAAAAGGAAAATGAAAGCAGATGGATCAATTGACAAATACAAGGCAAGACTTGTGGTCAAAGGTTTTAGACAAAAAGAAGATCTTAATTACTTACACACATACTCACCGGTTACTATAATAGCATCCATTAGAATGCTAATTGCTATTACGTCTTTGTACAATCTAGAAATTCATCAAATGGATGTGAAAACCGCTATCTTAAATAGTGAGTTAGATGAAGAAATTTACATAGAACAACCATAATGATTTTTTGTTCCAGGAAAATAAAAGAAAATGTGTAAATTAGTTAAATCATTATATGGTTTAAAACAGGCGCCAAAGTAATGGCGTGAGAAATTTGACAAGGCAATGATGTCAAATAGATTTGAAATTAATGAGTGTGACAAATGTGTTTATATTAAAAGCACAAACAAATGTTATATTATAGTATGTCTTTATGTGGATGATATGCTCACCATAGGTAGTAATAATGATATGATTAAAACTACCAAGAAAATGTTGAATAAACATTTTGACATGAAAGACATGGGCATTGCTGATGTAATTCTTGGTATGGAAATTACAAAAACATCAGAAAGTTATGCTTTGTCATAATCTCATTA